CGAACTAAATAAATTATAACAATCACATATTGTGTCTCCATTTATCATTGCTCGAAATTTTAATAAATTCTTCCCGAGTCTTGAAACCCTGAAGTGTTGGAACATATTCAATCAAAACATTAAAGTCAAATGAGCAATTTGATCCTAAGACTCAAAAATAGGCCACAGACTTCCAGATTATTTGCTCAAATGAAACACATTTTATGGGCATATTAAGAAATAAATCTCACGTCAAATAATTACATAGACAAAAAAAGTACCGGAGGATCCATTTTCTTCTGGGCAACCTTGCAGAGAAACCGAGGAAGTTGTCAAGCTGTGAGTTTCGGCGGGTTAGAGCATCGCTCTAATTTCATAGAACATATTCTATAGTTTAAGGAGTATTTTATAAATTGAAAGATCAAAAATTTTAAAATGCTCCAACAATCTCTTTATTTTTTACATTTAATTTTTACATTTAAGTTATGTCTCAACCCCATTTTATCAAAAATTCATTCTTTCAAAATTTATTTCTAAACACACATTTTTCGATAAAATAATATTACACGTAAATAAAAAAAAAATCTTCATTTTTAACTACGCGTTCTCTAAAAATCACCATTTAAAAATGTATTTTTTCTCTCAAAATGGAGCTCAAATAAGGGCTTAATTTTACTACTCTTGATACATATTCATTGTTTTTTTTTATTTTTACCATCTTTCCTCTAATAATTATATCATTTCCCTCCATTTTCTTCAACTCGTCTGCTGGTCCTCATTTTCACATCATTCCAAACAAATTCAAGGTCTACACATTTTAGAAAAAATATAATCTTTCTTATACAGGAAAAGAAATGCATCGTGTTCTTTTTGAATATGTCTTCCAGTAGACTAATCAAATTGATTCTTGATGACTTTTGACTGCGATGATGATTTGGAGATGGCAATACCATTTGTTGCATGAATATGCTGAATTTCACATAATGATGAAGACAACAATTTCTGCCATATGTTGGACTTTTGCATGAGAGAAAAGAATTAGTTAACCCACAATATGTAACCAAATACTCATGGATCTGCTTCCGCAGATTTTAGTTGCTCCCTTAATCAAGCTAAACTCAACGACCTACAGTTCTTTTTGCAAGAATTTCCTTTTGACGTTGCATATAAAAATTTGCAAGCATTTGAGGCATTCCAGTTGTATCTATCATCGTTATCCTTTCATCCTCTTCCATTTGTTCCAATCAAAGCTTTTCTTGCTCATAGGCAAGTCTCTCTTGTTCTTGAGCATATCGTCTTTCAAATATTTCTATTTTCTTCTCATTGAATTGTTTCTTTTCTTCTCTCGTTGCTCGTAAAAAAGTCACACGTGCACTTGATGAGTCATTTCTAGTATCTTTATCCTTCATCTTCTTTCGATTTTTTCGGCCTTTCCTCCTGGAGGTCTTTCCAAGTCCACAAAGTTAGAATTTGGAATATTATCATCTCTAAGATTCACATACTCTCTCGTGTGTGACCAAACGTGAAATCAGAGGAAGAACTTATGGTTTTATTTCTTATCGGTTTTTTATTTTGGCAATCTTCCAACCACTTTGGCTGGTACCTCAACGTATTCCAACAATGTTCAAATTGGAATGGATGTTTGTCTTTAATTAATTCTTGGTACAAGAGTTTTGCATTAGCAATCTGCAAAATAAAAAAATCAAATCAAATTAGATATGAATTATCAATAATATGTATATCAAAATAAATACTATAGTAAATACCTTATCTTGCTCGTTAACACCATTTTGGTTTCTAGGTTCAATTTGGGCATAGCATTCACAAAATTTATTCGAAATCAGTTGAATGGTTGACCAATGGTTCATCAAAGAAACTTGTGCTTATGTAGATTCAAAATTCTTGTACTTGTGAAAGTATTCCCACAATCGAGTCCAAAAAAAGACATTTTGTTTCTGTTCATTTCCATGTAGTGCATCCTGTTAGATTTTTTATGTAACTGGTAAGTCTGTGAAAAAAAAAGAGACTAAGTTTTAAATGTTGAAAAAGTCAATGAGTATGTTGCAAATAGTAGAAATTGAGTTATATTAGATCTAGGGTTCGAAAATGAAAGAAGAGAAAAAAACGACGCCGTAATTTCGCTAGTCTGTCGTCATGATTTGACTCAAGCGTCAGAAACACTAACATTGTCGTTGGCATGTAGCCATTGCCTCTCTCTCACCATGACCGATTTGGCTCGAGCGACACACTGTGGCTCGCCTGTCGCCCAGCTCTCGCTCGAGCGATAGAGTTATCCGGAGAATTTTTAATTCGTTTTTTAAGGCTTTTTATCCGACCCATTTATTTCTTAACCTACATATAAATAACAGAACGCCTCTGAAAGGAGATTCCAAGGGTTGATCATTGTGAAAAACACATTCTCTTCATATCATTTTCATCAAATTAATTTTCAACCTTCGTTCTGTGATTGATTCTTGGCAGTGAAAATATCAAATCCAAAAGCCAAACTGCTACTTCCTACATATCGTCAGAGTTCAGAAGATCAAGAGAATGTGATTGGAGTCAATCGTTGAAGAACTCGGAGTTCTTCATTAATCCACATGATATAGACGAATTCACAAAATTGGGAGTTGCTGTAGGAGTGCGCAATCCAGGAGAACTTTGAAAACTGCAGCTGGGAATTGGTGCGGGAGCACAAAATTCAGGAGAGCTGTGGGAATTGTGGTCAGGAAGTCGGAAAGTACTAGTGGTAGTCGAGTAATGACAGACTGTAAGTTTTAATTCGTTTATAGTGGATTGCTTACTGACAAAGTGCTCGAAATTTTTACCCAGTTGAGGTTTCTCCGTGATCATTCTTGTGTTTATTTATTACTTTCGTAACTACAGCATTTCAATGTAGGAAAAATTGAATTGTATGATTAATCATCTAGAGATAATTAATAGTAACTTGTTGCTAATTAATTATAAAAAATTTAATTCCACATAATCACCTATTCACCCCCCCTACGTATAATTTGGGTCGAATTTCGTATTTTCACATCCAAACTAACATTAAGCCATGCTAACACAATGAGAAGATCCTCTTCTACATTAAAGTTTCCACCTCTTAATCTTTTAGAGTTGGGTTCCAATAGAGTATTTGACACGTGAAGTTGATCATCAAAATTGGGATATTGGGTCGAAAACTGTGGGTTTTCATATGTATCATTACATTGATTTTCATCCATGCTTGTTTGAATACCCATGTTGTAGAAAAAAAAACTACACTTTTTTGATCTCCGTTATTTTCAAGCAAGAGCTTAAACAGGAGTAAGTTATGTTTTTCTAGTAATAAATGAGATAGGACGAGACGAGATGGGGTGGGGTGGCCCTCCTCGTCTTTGCCTTGTCTATGATTTGGAAAGTGAGGTAAAATAAAATATCCTGCGTTATTTTAATTAACTTTTATTTTAAATTTACTTTTTATTTTTATTTTTAAATACGATTGTACAAATGATTCGGAGAGGAACCATGCTTACCTTCTCGACCTTTTCATCCCCACCCATAATTAAGAAAAAATAAGTTATTCGAATAAATACGAAAATAAAAAGTACTTAATTGTAAATCTTACTTTGTGCTACTGTTCATAGTACCAACCTATTAGCATCATATCTATTCTTTTAGAAGCGTATTTCTTAACTTTTCAATTTATGCTGGTTCCTTTGTTAAACTTGATGAGAAAAATAGGATTAGATTACAATATTAATAAATTAAACATCAGAAATATACTGGCAAAAAAATTAGGTCAAAGTCATACGCAAAATTATGAAATTAGTAAATAAAAAATGGGAAAAATTCATTTCTCCT